GTTTTACTATGCTGTAATTCTGATGGAAGTGAGAAGGTGACTCCACTCGTTGTTGGAAAATCACGCAAACCACGATGCTTTAAAAACGTGAGAAGTTTCCCAACAAATTATGAAGCAAACAAAAAAGCGTGGATAACAAAAGCCCTTTTCGAAGACTTTTTGCAGAAACTGAATAAAAAGATGAAATTTCAGAACCGCAAAATAATTTTGTTCATCGATCAATGCAGTGCACATCCGGATTTGCAGCTATCTAATGTGCGTGTTGAGTTTTTTCCTGCAAACTGTACAAGCAAATTACAGCCTTGTGATCTCGGCATTATTCGATCATTTAAGGTTTTTTACAGAAAGCAACTTGTCCGGAAAGCTGTAGCTGAACTAGAGAACGGAAACCTAAATGACGCCTGCAAACTAAAGTTAAGTGTTCTGGAGGCTATGCATTTTATTTCTGCTGCTTGGAGAAGCGTTACACAAAAGTGCATTTCCCACTGTTTTGAAGAAAGCGGAATCGTAGCTTCTAATGAACCGTTAACAGATGCAGGATTAGATAGACTAGACTCGGAGAATGACAATGAAACAGTTAGCTATGACTTCGACGAGTACATCCGAGAAAACTTAGCAACATGCGAAGCTGAGAGAACCACTGCTCCATCCGTGGACGATGTTATGGACTTTTCATCCGCCAATGAAGATGAACAAGAAGGAACAGAAGCACAGCCTGTTCCTTCTTTCAACACAGCATTGAGAAGTTTGCTAATAGTGAAAGACTATTTTCTATCATACAAAGACCAGGAAAAAAATTTGCAAAAGATTTCAGTCCTGGAAGATGAGGCATTTACTTTGAACTCAATGTCTAAAAAACAATCTACTATTACGCACTATTTTGCATTTTTAAAAATATTTTCCAAATCGTTTATGAGTTGAATAAACAACTGAAAACCTAAAATAGTCAAGTAATTTTTTATAAATAATTGCTAATATAATTTTAAAGTTATTGCAAAATTTTTTTCCAAATCCAATTAATTGTTTTTATGATTTAAATAATAAAATTTAATCTTATCTACGCTTTCTCATAATTATCTCCTAACGAAGAAATTGTTATTTCATTTGATCCAATATCTTAAAAACCATCTCTTTTGCAGTGTTTCCGAGAAAGCAAATAGAAGTTCTCGAAAGCACGGCAGTTTTTCATCAGACTCAACATACAGTTCATCACCTCAGTCAGATAATGGAGATCATCTAAACTCTTACAAGTCATTCAACACCGATTCCAGAACTTCTTTTCCCGATTCTAGTAACTGCAATTTTCCGAAGCACTTCAGTTTTGACAAAAATACTGCGTACTGTGATAAAATAGGTTCCTCTAGCCAAAGATACGATTTCAGTAGGTTTGTTTTAAAAGAAGACTGCATTTCTAATGATGCAGTGTTTGACAGTAATGACTGTAACAAAGCTCATGAATATCAAAATGCCAAAGATTCGCATCTAGAGTATATCAACAAAGGAACCAATATTGTACATTCCACTTTATCTCATCAAGCCATATGGTGCATGGACTATTATGTGCCTTGTATAGCAGTAGGATGCAAAAATGGCCGTATCGAAGTAAGTTTTTGATATGCATTCTTGAATTTTAGTTCATTTTTGTCCATATTTTGTTAATGCATTTTTTTTACTCTAGACAGGGGTGATTGTATTCCTGGGGTTTCCCAGAATTCCGGGTTTTTCGTATTATCTTTCCGGGTCTAAAAATTAGGAGCAAGGCATATGAATTTTCTGAGAATATCGAGGAATTCCGTGTTTCTCATAGTCACGATTCTTCTGACAGTGGGCAGAAACCTGATTCTTTTAGTTTGGCGGATTTTCGCCATTTTTAATATTCAAAACTGCCAGAATCCGCTGATATCGTGATTCATGTTCACACGGTTTGAATATCTAACATTGATTTTTGTGTTTACCTAATTTAAAAGTTACACGCTGCGATTCGTATTTGCATGGTTTAAAAATCATACATTGTCATTCGTATTCACGCAATTTTAAAATTAATATATTGATGCTATTCTAAAAATCTAACATTTCAATTCTTGTAAGAACTAATATCAGTTACTATAAAGGTGTGATATTCATCATTGGTGGGTTATTTAATTATTATTATTAAAAAAATTTATGTTAAATGTAAAACATTTATGGTATAGCAATTGATATCTTGATATTGATATTTTGCACAATTAATTTTGAGGGTATTTTACTTCATGTCCCAATCACCCTTGCCTAAAGAAATAACTACCACACACATTTTTCATTAACAAAGGAAAAAACTTGTTTTTTAGCAGAAAAAACAATGGATGAAAAGATGTTTTTAGGCTCTGTAAGAGCTTAGTTGGTTAATTAACTGTCATTATATTCTTGCTCATGTTTGTTAACTGCGTTTTATCATGCTCTTTATATGCATACCATTTTTTGTGTGTCCAAAATTAGGAATATTTTGTGCTATTCAGTATACAGTAAAAAAATTAATAAATAAATAAAATAAATGTGACTAAAACAGAAAGGACATACTATAGTTTTGGTTCGATAAACAATAACCATCCCCAGTATCCGAACACTAAATAATGTTATAGAATTAAAGCGACAAACACATGCACAAATGAAAGTACAGAAGTGGACATACCTTAATTTTGGTTCCATAATCAATAATTTTCCTTAGTGTCTAAACATCAAATGATGGTATAGAATTAAAGAGACAAGCACATATTTTATCAGCATAAGCAATCTTGAATTTCCAAAGATAATTTTATTCTTAACAATTTAACATGACTAAGCATCTTCAATGCGTCAAAATGCTTTCTTATTTTGTTTATTATTGCTTTTCTAATTATTAGGTCTGGAATGCATTCACTGGAAAATTAGAATATATTTACGAGGAGAACAAGTCTGGCATCACTGCATTATGTCTCACTAGAGAGAGGTCAGTTTATTTTTGTATGTTCAAAAAATATGTTTTATTTTAATTTTATAACCGTCGTTGAACAGCCGACACAATTTTTGGGTTTACGATTGTTAATGTTCGACTCCATAGCCTTGTAATCTTGTACCTAATCCAGAAGACAAGGGAACTCCTGGATGAAGTCTTGGGAGAAATTTGCCCTTGTGGAGGACTTTTTGATGGAACTAACCCGCATTTGCGTTACAAAGAGAGGAAAACCTCTCATGGTTAGCCTGCCGGTAAGCGGACTTTTATCCATGATCATTGGGATATTTTACATCAGTAATGTGGTTGGTGCAAGCTGGATGCAAAATTGGTATCGACCAACCATCGTTGAGATTCGAACACGGTTCACCTCATTAGAAGGCGAACGCTCTATACACTGAGCCAACATGTTTTATTATTAAATTTAGGATTAACTTTATAGGTTGGTTTTCCTAATTACAATAATTTTATTATTGCTTTTTTTCTAGACACTCAATTGTGGCCTTGCAAAATTTGCCTTAAATTATCAGTTTTTATGTTTGTATTGATAAGGAGACTCTATATTTTTCAAATAATCTTTATTTTCAGGCTTATAGTAAACAATGAGATCAAAAATTATAAATTATATTATGTTTGGTCATTGATCGTGGCTATTTTGTGTTTTAAGCTCACAAAACCATTAAGCAATGTTTTGATTGCAATGCAAATTTAGTCCTAAGTTTTAAATTGTAGTAGAATAAATTTAATTTAGAGTGTCTTTTTCTAATTATATATATATATATATCCCCCCCAAAAAAAACATTGAAAGAAAACTTTCTTTTGGACACCCTGGATATTTGTTTGATTTTGTTTCTTGCATACTTCGTAAATAACTCTTTTTCCAAAAAAAAAAAAAAAAAAAAATTGCACTTGTTATATCATGTTATGTTGTGCCGACATTTAAATATATATCTTTTTGATATCTCAGTAAAAAAATCCTTAATAATGTTCTATTTTCAAAATTCTAAACAACTTCACAAAAATAATAATTTTCCCTAGGAAATAATAAAAAGCTAGCATTTACTACAGATTCATAGCTAGTTAAGGTACAATTAATCAGTGATATATTAGACCTCATTGTGTCAACATCTAGATTTATCTTATTCTAAACCTCTAGAAATAAATAAAAAAAATCCAGAAAATTATGTGGAAAAAATAGTTTTCAAAAAAAATTATTTTTTTTTGCATCGGTCATGTGACTAAGAAAAAAACAAAAAACAAATTTTGCAAAAAGCTGGAATGCTCAAAGAAATAACAGAAAGGTAGCTTTTGTTGTACTTTCATTGTGAATTAAGGTATTATGTCAAAATTCAGGTTATCTTTTTTATTATGCCCCCGAAAAAATAATAAAATCACTCAATAATGTTAATCTTAAAAATATCAGACAGTAGTCCCCCCCCCCCCAAAAAAAAAAAATTTCACATGAAAATAGATAAGCGTTAACTTTTAAAATGAATGCAATGTGAATAAAGGTTCAAGAGTTTTCAACCTTGCCTAAACAATAATCAGATCACTGCTTTTTTTGGATAAATAAAATCACTCAATGAAAATCATTCAAATTTTATTTGAAAGTAGTATTTTTTTACTGGACATTGTATATGATGTGAAAGAAAACAATAAAAGCTAGTTAATTTTTAGGAATATTTTCATTAATGAATTAAAAATAATGTATTTGTAAAATATTGTCTTGGCTATTTCATTTTATCATTTTTATTTTTTATCATAAGGCATATTTTCCCCTCTATTAGTATTGGTTTTTAAAGTTCTGTAGTCCAGGGATCACTTTTTTTCTTCTGTAAACCCTATTCCAAATCTAGGCATTACAAAATTCTTGAGGTTTCATTTTTGGCTCAATAATTACAAAGGTATTAAGCATATTGGTAAAAATAAATTGTAAATTTTTCAATAAAAGATTTTGCAATTCTCCAGAGTTGAACATTTATAAAATAATAAGCTTAAAAAGAATAAAAGTAGTATTAAAAATAATTAAAGAGTTGCAAAATAGATCTTATTTAATTTTCTGTTAATAATTTTACATAAGGAAATGGGTGCATTGTTTTGGCTATTTCATTTTATCATTTTTATTTTTCATCATAAGGCATATTTTCTCCTCTATTCGTGTTGGTTTGAAAAGCTCTGTAGTCCAGGGATCTTTTTTTTTTCTTCTGTAAATCCTATTCCAAATCTAGGTGTTACAAAATTCTTGGTTTTATTTTTGGCTCAATAATTACAAAGGTATTAATTGTATTGGTAAAAATAAATTGTAAATTTTTCAATAGAATATTTTGCAATTCTGCAGAGTTGAACATTTATAAACTAATAAACTTAAAAGGAATAAAAGTAGTATTAAAAATAATTAAAGAGTTGCAAAATGGATCTTATTTAATTTTCTGTTAATAATTTTACATAAAGAAATGGGTGCATTGTTTTGGCTATTTCATTTTATCATTTTTATTTTCATCATAAGGCATATTTTCTCCTCTATTCATATTGGTCTTAAAAGTTCTGTAGTCCAGGCATCTTTTTTTTTTCTTCTGCAAACCCTATTCCAAATCTAGGTGTTACAAAATTCTTGAGGTTTTATTTTTGGCTCAATAACCATAAAGGTATTCAACTTATTGTTAAAAATAAATTGCAAATTTTTCAATAGAAGATCATTTATAAAATTCCCTAAAACTGAGTAAGTTACCTATAGAAATCCCTATAGAAATAGAATTTTTGCACAGTTTATTGCTTGCTTGAATATTTAAATAAATATTACTAATGCATAATGAAGCAAGCCTCATTTATAGAAATCAGTTTAAAACTTTTTTTGTTGTTCTAAAATGTTAAGTTTATTTTTTATTCAGAACTACCTTTTTAAATAAATGAAACAATCTTTTAATTATCTTTGATGAATTAAATATCTATTAATATTCAAAGTTATGAATAAACATAATAAATAACATTTCAAATTTATTTAATGTCAATTATAACTGGAAAATATTGCAGACCTTTTACGGTTATAAGTTTAATGAAGTTTTTGTATTTTGATGACTAAAAAAATACCTAAAATTCCCTGTTTGTCAAATATTTAGTATATTATGCAATTTATATTATTTTGTAAAATCTACTGGATTTTTTCATATCCATGTTGGTAACTATGTATTGGTGAAAACAAATTGCAAATTTTTCAATAAAAGGTTTTGCAATTCAATAGAGTAGAACATTTATTAAATAATAAACTTAAAAGGAATAAAAATAGTATTAAAAAGAATTAAAAAGTTGCATAATAGATCTTATATTATTTTTTGCTTATAATTTTTACATAATAAAATGGCTGCAAAACATAACACGATTTCAGGTACTATTCTTTCTTAAAAGTTTGCTTCTTCATAGCATTTCTTCTTTTCTTGAATTTAAAAAAAAAAAAATTATTTAAGTATTTTGCACAGAGTGGAATCAAATACTGGTGTGTTTCTCTTAATCTCCAAATTGTTTTGCTACCAGGCCAAAAATTACTCATTTAAAAGTAATGCGTTGAATCGTGTTTTTCTTTAATGACACCATTGTATTTTGATTAAATTTGTACATGTTGCCCTTCCTAAATTCGTATATTTTAAGCATGCCAAGTATATTATTTTCCTAAAATAATTTTGTTTCAGGTTAATTGCTGCCCGAGAAAATGGGATTTTAGAGTTTTTTGCCATAGATACTTTATATGAAAATTATTCAAATCTTCAAATGCATGCAGGTATAGAAAAATTTCCTGTTTTAATTACTTACTTTTTATATTTTGTTTTACATTAGTTTAAGTATTTTTTAAAATAAATCTAAAGTTCTATGTTTGTGTTAAATTTATTATTCATTCTTTATGATGTTTGTTTGTGTTTATTTTTATTATTGTTTGTTAAGCATTAAATTTTCTAATGTACACTTCTTTACTCTACTCTTCTTTACTAACTCTACTGGATTTTGCCAGTTTCTTCTGGTCTACTGGTTTAATTAAAATTCTTCTGGTTTTTGTACATTTTAGAAAATTCCCTAAAATGGAGTAAGTTTTCTAAAAAAAAATCCTTATTGAAATAGAATTTTTGTACTGAATATTGCTTGCTTGCTTGAATATTTAAAATACGTATTACTAATACATACTAAAGCGAACCTCATTTATAGAAATCAGTTGAAAACTTTTTGTTCTAAAATGATCAGTTGATTTTTATTCAGAACTTTTTTTTTTTGAATTTTATAACTATCTTTGAATTAAATGCCTGTTAATATTTGAAATTATGAGAAAACATAATACGTAACATTTCAAGTATGCTTGATGTTAATCATAACTGGAAAATATTGCAGTTTTTCTATTTTAATGACTATAGAAATCTCTAAAATTCCCTATGTGTAAAATATAGTGTACATTATGCATCATTAATCATGAAATTTATGTTAGTTCGTAAAGTCAACTGGATTTTTTTCCTATCCATGTTGATTGCTATGCATACTTATTTCTTGTGGAAAACTTTTGGTTATAGCTATGAAAATTATATTTTTGCTTACATAAAATTTTTTATTTATGATTCATAAAGATTGAAATGAACTTATTCATTATTAAGAACTTATTTTTTAAATGAAAGAAAAAAATAAATGTTTTTCATTTTTTTAATACTATTTTACTTATTAAGTTTTGGCCAACTGATTCTGTTCCGACTAACAGTTATACTTAAATGTGATGCCTGTTGTTGCGACTTATGGAATGTGTCTGTCAAATTCTGTAAATCACTTTTAAAATGTTTATATTATTATTTTTAATGGCCAGGATAGCCTGGTTGGCTGGGCGCTGCTCTCACGTTCGTGAGAACGAGAGAGTTTGAATCCAGCTGGCTGAGCCGTGGTGTTGTAAATGGTGACTGGTGCACATTAAACCTGTCAGGTCACAAAGTCCTCCATGTTCATATCAATCAGCTGTCACTAGGATTCGAACCGGGTTCACCTCATGGGAAGGCAAACACTCTATCTCCTGAGCCACCATGACTGAAATTGAATAATCAGGAAAAATATTGAGGAGAAAAACTTTAATGCTTTTTATTTAAGAGGGGACAGATATATGCCATTCTGCATATTATGTTTCTTTCTTAACTATTAATTAATTTATATAATTTATTTTTAGTGATAATTAATTTCAGTTGTATTTTATTAGGTCATGCTATTAGTTTAGATCAGATGGAAGCTGCTGAAGTTATCCGTTGCTCTTGGCTTCAAAACGTAAAAGCACATTCCTTATCAATATCTGCTTTAGAAGTAGATGGGATGTTAGCCATATCTGGAAGCTATGATCGCTTAATTAAAGTGAGCATTACATTCATCAGAGTTCTCCCTAGGAATAAAAAAAGAGCAGGACACTTTGAAATAGCACTCACTTATCACCATAAAAATTTATCAAAATGTGTAATATTTTGTTGTAACTGAATTTGATCCCCAACATTTTTTAAATTACCCTCTTATACTATTTTCTGTGCATGTTTCTAAAAATAATTATCTCTCATTATAAAAGTAAGAGAAAAATTTGTAGTTTATAAAAATAATTATAAAGACACGCTAAAAGACTATCTCTGTGCATAATTTTTTTTTTTTTAAGAAAAAGTATAAACTAAAATAAAAGTTTCATTAATAAAAAACTTTAAAGCTTTTTCCTACATTTTAAACTAAAGATTATTAGAAAACAAACATATAAAGGTGTATTTAAAAAAAAAAAAAAAAAACAGGTATTGGAAAAAAATTTAAAACCATCAAAAATTCATTACTCTCCCCTTTAAAAGAAATACTTGTAAAAATTGAATGAGTTGAGAAAAATCTGAACGAAGTAAATATTAATAATAGTCATTGGAATTAAACCCATAATTACAGATAATTTTACCAGTGTTTAATCATTTAAACAGGGCGTTAGTTTTTTTCAAAATGGAATAGGAATATAAAGGCAGTGTTTTTAAGGGATTGTGTCTTATTTTTACAAAAAGGGTGCATTTATAGGGATCAATATGCAGGCAGGCTTTTCTAAAAATGCTTAGGGAAAAGGCTGCATTCATTATGGTATTTGTTATTCATATTTATATAATGCTTGATCAGTAATGTTGATTTTAATGCCATTTACTATTCTAATCGTTATACCTTTTATCAGGAGCGATTGTATTCCGGTTTTTTCGTATCAATCTTCCGGATCTAAAAATTTGAAGCAGGGCATTTGATTTTTCTTCGAATATCGCAGAATAACACGCATCTGAAGATCATTGGTTCGCGTACATCCAAAAATCAAAAACCTATAATCCGACGAAGTTTTAAACCTTATGTTAAATCCTGTTAACAAGATATTTACATATGCATGATTCTTCCGCCATTTGGATTCTTTTGGCTTGGTTGATTTTCTCCATTTTGATTCTTTGGAACTACACTGGAATCTGCTAAATTAGGGGTGCTCAACCTGCGGCCCGCCAACCCTCGATGTGCGGCCCGCGGCCGCAATCTGAACAAAATGAAAAAAAAATTAAATATTTGTTTTTGAAAAATAATAAAAAAAATTCGGTAATTTAAATTTACACTTTTAAGTTTTTGACGCACCCAATCTCAATCAATGTAGTTTTTCGATGGTTAACGCTACGGATTTCAGCATAGTTTTAAAAATCCCAATGTTTTTAATACATCATTATTACGATTTACGAATTTTAATTACCACTTTTGACGCCTTTCGTATGTGCCAATTCCAATGACTTTTCGGTAGTTATTGCTACTCATTTTCAAGTAGCTTCTGAAATAGCGATTTTTGAAAGTTATGAAACGCTTTATTTGTGCAAACTTCATGGAAAATCTAAATGACTTTAGAACCTTTCTTCAACAGTTATTGCTGCACATTTCTGCCCGCTTTTTAAAACTTCGATATTTTAGCACGATATTATTAAGAATCGCGAGTAAAGAATCTCTCATTTAGATAACCATTTTTTGACACGGCTTAATTGTAACGATTTTATCGCGAATCAAATTATTTTTCAATCGTTATTCTAGAAATTATTGCTACACATTTCTACAAGGTTTTGAAAGTACCGATATTTTTTATACTCTATTGCGACATTTTAATTTCAAATCCCGCATTTAAATTACATAAAATTTTGATGGACTTTATTTACTCCAATTTCATCTGAAATAT